CAAATTTTTAATGTAACTATCATACAGCTCAGTCTGCTCTTGGACTCATACTTTTATTACAGACCCTTTTCAGCTTTGAACTAATGCTTTTAACTTGGATCATTTCCCCAGGCTGATCCCTGCAGTTTTCATCATTTCTATATTATCCCATTTTTTCTTCCTTTAAATAAATTATGTAGTCACTTTTTTCCATTTAGTATTAGTGTGGTAGCATTTTTCACTCATGAGCACTTTGGAATTTGTTGGAAAGCATCAAGGATCACTGAAAAAATTTCACTTTGTCATAAGCTCATCTGAGTGATTTGATGCTAAAAATTCTCAGAGAGGTTTCAAGGTTGAAATTCTTTCAGGAGATTCTCCATAAAGTTAATTCTTTCATAAAACAGAAAAGCAGAACCCTCTCCATGAGCCCAAACACAGATTCAGTGCCTAACTTTAAGGCTAGGTGCAGACATTTAAAAAGCCAGAGGTGAAATCAATCTAAGTTATGCGGTTTTCTGTAAGTGAGGTAGTTTAGACTGATAGTGAACAGAACACACATTTGCCCTTTGGTGGGGGGGAGAGGAGGAGCAAACCTTAGACCATATTCCACCATTTTTAAAACAATCTGCGTGTGCTGAACTTCTGGCCTGTTACAGTCATAGACTGATTTCCAATTACTTACGCTGATAAAAGTGTAATGTCTGTTTACACTGTAGCATTGCAATGACTGTAAGGAGTCATAAGAAACTTTGACCAAATGTGGGGATTGCTATGCTCCTAGCATCCCCAAAAGGCAGTGGCATGGTAATAATGTTGATAGAGAATAGGCATTAGGAAGTTATGTTTTGGGGGTTCATGGCATGTCATGAATGTTTTCATGTGTTTTACTGTACTTGTGTGGCATGTGTGGCCTTGTTGGAAGCCTCCAAGCTTTTTTCAGAATGAGAAGGGGGAAAGGGAGAGGAGGGAGTTCAGTCTTGGGGTTTTTCAGTCCCCCCCCAGAGGGTGGGACAGGTGTATTGGGGTGGGGGAGCTCCAATTCACCCACCCCACCCTTCAGCACTAGCTGGGAAGCCGGAAGAACAAGCTCCCTTCACTGCCTTTCCCCCTCCCATTCTGAAAACAGCGAGCGCTGGTAGAGACTCTGGCTGTTGCTGTGGGAACCTGGCTGCAGGCCGGCAGCCAGATTCCTCTCCCGTGGAACCAACAGTGAACTTCTGTTTGGTCTGGGGTAACATTGCAACTCAGAATGGTTTGCAGAAATCACTCTGAGTTACAGCTGGGAGCTGCACTTCTGTCTGCATCCCTAGTGTCATCCTGTATCCACTTATATTACTGTTATCACCCTACAGATTGTGTTGTTTTGCCTGTATAAATCTTTATGGTTTGGGATACAGTTTAGTCAAGGAAAGGGAGTGGAACAGTTAAATCTCTCTTCCTGGCAAGAAGAATTGCTATGCCCATAAGCAGGCAGAAAGGGTTGGGCCTCGAGCCATTGTCTTCCTGTAGTGGGGCAATCAACTCCTGTGTAGCAGAGGCATCTGAGAGGAATGGCCCATCCACCCAAAGGTGTGTCAGGTACCTCAAGCACACCACAGCTTTCTAGAGAGTTGAGGTGACTGTTGAGAGTGCTGGTAGGAGGTGGTGCTGGTTGGAAGGAGTTTGGCAGTGGGCTCAGAAGTGTCAGAGACCCCAGCAGTCAGGGCTTGTGGAAATCAGCAGGAAGGCTGATGTCTGGTGATGTTGGCAAGACTGTTAGGAAAGATTAAGTATACCTAGATAAGAAGGTAAGGATATGATCTTGTTTATTTTTTCTGTCTCCAAATCTATAGTCAGTTTTGTTTGTGTTATTCTTTTATCATATGTAATAAACCTTTTGTTGATTGCCTTCAGAAAGAGTGATTTTGAGCCTAGTGATATTCCAGGCTGGAGAAAGGGACATAACAAATTTGCCCATAGTTCAATGGGATGGCCATCTGGGGCTGGCAGAAATTCCTTCTCAGCAGCTGCGGAGTCTGATATAAGAGAGTGGAGCTGAGGCTTGCTGGTGTATGGCACAATCCCAATGTGATCTTAGTCTGTTCCTTGGGGCAAGTAGCAGCACAGTGGGAAGAAACCTGGGGCTCTAGGGGCCCCTGTGGTTGGGTTTGTGACAGAGGTTTTCCTTTATTTGGTGGCTATGTACAATAGCAATAATTTACTTTGTTGTTTTCCTTCCCTTGCTCCCCCTTCTTCTTCTCCTAATTGTCTTCTGTGCATTTCTTTTCTATAATCAACTGTCCATTTCCTTCTGTTTCACTTTCTGATCTCTTCCTCTGAATTTTTACTTCTCTCCTTTTTCACTTGACGTCTGTCTCTTTCTGAGATTCCTTCCGCTATTGTGGCTTCCTTCCTTTATTTTCCTTTTTTCCATTCCTCTCCTTTTTATTATTGCTATTCCTTTCTCTTGCCTGTTTTGTTCCAGTCTCCGCTTCTTCTCTTTCTGTTACTACTCTCAGCTGCTTACTGTCATGTGGTATGAGAGCATGACTCTCTAAGGCCCTGCAGTTTCTCAGTAACCATCCCCATTGTATTTGTAGGACATGTACAAAGTAGGAAATGGAAGCCTGTCAATGATGGGTTGTCCACTATCAAAATGATCAGGAGCAGTACTCTCTAGCACACACAAAGCTGCCTTGTTGAGAGGTTGTTCTTCATAATAAATATTGCATTTGGTGTACCTGTTTAGTGGTTTCTCCCATCTGATAGGATGCAGAGCATTAAGAGGACACTGTCAGGGGTGGATCCAGAGAGAGTGCAGTGGCACAGACTCAGCCCTGCCTTTGCTGAAAGCTGCTGCAGGAGCAGCAGCCTGGCACTTCCTTTAAATCCCCAAACTGGGTAAAAATTTCCCCTTGGCTTTCCCCCTTCTTGCTCAGCAGAACCTCCCCTACCTCTCCTGCCCAATGCTGATGTTGTCCAGAGCCGCTTCTACTCCTCCAGTCAGGCTCCATGGGGAGCCAGGCTCAGCTAGGGACAGCAACACTGCAGACAGTTTCTTCCTCCCTGCCAGGTCCCCACCCCTCCACCCCCCACTATGCTACTTGGGAACATGCCTGCTGCTGTCTCTGGCTAAGCCTACCTTCATGTGCAGCCCATCTGGAGTGGGGCAGAAGCATCTCTGGAACCTCCTCCCCACTATCATCTAGGGATAGTAAAGGCAACAACAGTGCCAGGTGGGGACGATGAGTAATTGGGATGTAGGCAAAGGACATACCGCTGAGCATGGAGGGGAATGGAGTGGGAAAGAAAAATTCTTAACTGATTTGAAGGACTTAAAAAAGACCCCAGCAGCTGCTACCATGGTATGGTCTGCCCATTTCAGTGGGAGTGGATGGGGGTGCACTCACCCCTGTAGAACTAGCTGCTGCCCATGGGCACTGTCAACACCCCGGGGCATATGAAGCCTATGATTCTATAGGCCAGTAGATTGTGGTTCTGAAGAAGTGGTGAGGGAGGCAAAAGAATAACAAAGCATGGCCATTAGAAGTACTAATTTATTTTTTATTCCCATATATTTTGGTTGATCATCAATAAGGAAAGATCAGTAAGGAAAGGCTAAGGTTTTACATGTTCAAAAGAAAGGCAAATAATTTGTTCTGATACTGTACCTAGTTCAAGGATTCTTATAAATATTTATCAGCTAAAGGGCTATTCATCAAAATGATATGAATAAGTATCTGTGGGTTTTGCAGAGCAGTTTCAGAATGTAATGGAAGGCAGATGCAGGCTAGGAACGAAACCTAGTCTTTTTTTTTTTCTTTTGAAATTAACTCTGACCAGCCTCATGCATACTTGTTGCTACACTTCTTTCTCTCTCTCAGTGCTGTAAAGAGGTTAAGATTGTGTATTGGTTAAGTATACTAGCCTAGGATCAGATACTGGTTGATCACTGAAGTGTAAGCGGAAGGAAGATCAAGAAACCTTCCTTGCCCATTCATCCACCCACCCACCCATCCATGTGTCTTATTTAAAACTATAAATAAGTCTTTCTTCTTTCCCAGCTTTCCCTTAGCCAGGTTTTACTTTGCATTAGTATATCTGCATGTAGTAGCCCTCTCCCCCCTCCAAGATTGGAGAGGGGAAGACGCAGATCAGCTAGCCAGAGGGCAGCATGTGCAGTAGCTGAACTGCTCAAGTTCATCAATAGCTTAGAAAAATATGGTGCATCACTCAAGATTCTTGACTGAAACAAGGCAGCTCTGCACTAACCCCATCTGGACCAGAGCCTAACTTGCATGAATGAATCTTTCATTAGTGTTCCTGTGAAATGGTGAAAACCCTACACTTTTCTTGACCCAGATAGAAATTGAAGTCTCACAGCTCTCTTAGGCTAAGTACAGACATTTGGGAAGGTTAAATCAGGTTCAGAATTGCTGCCTGATTTAAACTTAGCTCGTCCTGGTGCCAACCTTACACTTACAGACCCAGTCTCAGTGGCCAGCATTCAGTCTAAACTTGTAACTGTACTGAAGTTCCATGCACATGAACTGATCTAAAAATTGCAGAACCCAGTTTAAGATAAACCTGGATCAAACTTACTTGATCATAAAGCTGATGCATGGAACTTCTGTATGCTTTCCCTGCAGAGTCCTGAGACTGGAAAAACCCAGCCACTGTCCCTGCCCTGGAGCTGGTCTTTTCACTCTTCCCCCACACTGGGCTATTTTTACACACGCCCCCCACCCCAGCCACTTTCGCCCCCCTCCCAACTAGCTAGCCCTCTCAACCTCCATTCCACAAGCCATTCAGTGTGCAACTGCTTTTATCAGTGTTCGCTGCTGTTGGAGCTGAGCAAGTATATCCTGGGGCGGGGAGGGGCAGGAGGGAAAGAGGTGTAGGTTCACTGGGGGGAACCCCACCCTACCCATGGGTCACGCCAGCCCCATGCATCCCACCCACAGGTCACACTTGCCCCCACACCTCATTGGTCACACCTCCCCCCATTTCCCAGCAGACACCCAGCCCCTCTGCTAGCCCCTGCCATCCTGACTTACCTGATATCAGGCAGCCATTTTAAATCAATTTAACATCCCCCAATGCACCCGAATGTCTATACTTAGCCTTAAGGATCAGGTCCATAGCTAGCAAAATTGGAGAATAGACCACTTCATTCTGTTGTGTTTCTGCTTTTATCTTTGTAACAGGGATTTTTCTCAGGGCTGGTCTATCAGTTTCCTGCCCACCTGTTTCTGGGCCAGCTGCCCACCTCCTCGTCTGCCATGCCTTGATATATAACCTGATCGGATGGATAGTACTCCAGTAGTTTTAAATGCTGCAAGCCTTTCTGAGGCTCATGCTTGTGATTAATGCAGTATGTTTATACAGAAAAAAGTAGAAATAATATTCATTTGCATTTGGAAAATATGTTTCAGCACAGTAGGATCCATATGTAGTCGTATGCTATATTCAGCACATGCATAAACTCATTGACATTGGTGAAATTGCACCAGAGATGTATTGGATTCATAACATGGAATTCTATTTTCACTTATACTAGTAAAAAACCTTTGCCATTAAAGTTATTTTGCACTCAGACTAGTAGAACCAAAAGTGAAATTTGGCCCATTAAAATCTCTCTCTAATTGCATAACTTGAAAATAGATATTTGCTGAGGGCACACATGACATCATAGAAAAGGTAGGATGACTATGATAAATTGCAAAAAGCTGAAGCTAAAAATGTGTTTGCTATTTATTTAATTTCTGGCACTAGCTACGCTTCTATTTTATTGTGGAAATATCCTCTTTAAAGTAGATACAGAGTGCTATGGTGTGATTTTATGTATTCATTCACTCAGCCAAAATCTGGCAACTGTGTATGTGCTATGCAGGCTATTGGAACTTTAATTATTTTATGTAAAAACCAAATTGTGTGTCCTTCAGTGTGATGACTCAGGATTTCTTGATGATTTCTTCCTAGAGTCAGTCTTACTTGGTGTTCTGTCAGCTCTCACAGATATAATTACAGTTGCACTAGAATTACAATGTGCCAAATCAATCTTCCATTCTCATTTTCCTACAAGAGCTACCCAGATTTATAAATATATGTCTAGTCTTCAGGTAGAATATGGGGAAACTTTACTCAGATTAATTTTTACACATTTCTTGTCCTTGTAACCATCTCTACCCACACAGATTACTTATTAGAGAGCCTAATATTTTAATCTTTCAGGAGTTTACAAGGTTCTGGGCCAGATTCTCAGCTTGTGTAAATTAGCTGTACTGAAATTAGTGAAGCTTTACTGATTTATGTTGGCTGTGGTTCTGGCCCTGCTTCTCTAACCAGTTGCTTATTTTGCTCTTTTGATGGGCCTTAATAAATCTGTGACGTGAGAAGATCATTAGGTGGCTTTTTTGCTTGCCAGATCCTATTAGTATCTCTTTCAGTAGGGCTTAAATGAAAGCTGAAGAATTGCTTGTGGAGTAGTTAATTTACAGAATTCTAATGCTCTGGTGATAAAAACATTTCACAAAGCAGATTTAGGTTACGTCTCTATGAGTTTTATGAAAGTTAACCTTATAAAAAGTTATGGAAAATGTAATATTGTCCCCTCCATTTCATTTAGCTAAAATTAGACACTGTACATTCATTTTTATCAGATACTTCTTCCAGTTTACTTCACTATTTGGGTTCTGGCAAGATTTCCTGTTGGCACCTATTCTTTTTCACTGGCAGTAGAATAGGGAAGTAAATTGAGAAGAACAATTGGCCAAACGATTCATAGAGCAGCACTTTGTTTCAAAACATTTTACTTTCATTAAGCCATCTTTCCTCATATTCCAGTTGAATCCAGGTTTCTTTAATTTGGATGACTGTTGTAAATCCCATAAAACTAATGTGCCTAATTCCAGGGGAAATTCAAAGGACACAAGAATGTCTTAATTAAACTCGGCAAGTGGCAGCAAACACAAGTGAAAACAGCCAACACTGATTTCCTGTGCATGCAATAGCTGATATTTGTTACTCTTAAAAAAAAAAAAATACCACTTCATGTCCTCTCTTTTGGGTTTTTATTTTATTGATATAATCAAAAGTTTATTAATGATCTAGAAACATGCAGAAAAACAAGTCAATTCTGGGTAAGTCTCCCTTATTCTTTTAGAAGGATGCAAAGAACACATCATATGTTGGAAATTCTAGCCCAAGACCCTTCCCATAAGCAATTTTCATTTTAACAGCCCAGTCCTGCAAAAGTTTTATCCACCTTAATGAGTGAAAGCTGGACCTAGATAAATTCAGAGTAGAACTCAGGTACATTTTGTATATTTGTATAGTGTAATTACTTATTGAAACAATTTTCCTAGGGGTTTGGTGAATTCTCCGTTGCATCCTTTAAATCAAGGTTGGGCAGCTTTGTAAAAGAAGGAAGTTACAGTCTTGATCTATCAGTGACACAGGAAAATTCTTACAGTGATGGTCAAACTAAGTCATCTTAAGCATGCATTTGGGCATTAATAGCTATGAAGTCTAATCGTTGCATAGTGAGCAATCCTATTGAAATCAGTAGAGCAACTCAAATTAAACAGAATTAAATGTATGTATAAGTCTTTGCAGGACTAAATGTATAAATAAATTATAGCCATCTCTCCAACTCTGATCACTTACAATCAAAAGTACCATGTTTGTTTCAAAGGGATTTGAACTACATTATCCGAAGTAAATGATTATCTATGTGATCTTAAAATATTCAAAATACTTGGATGTCATCAAATATTATTATTTTTCTTTGCAGACCTGTATTTAAGGATAATCAGGGAAATGTTGACAGAGACTCCCGATTCTCACCTTTGTTCAGGCAGGAAAGTAGTAAGATTTCAACTGAAGACTTGATTAAACTAATAGCAGAATATAGAAGGTAAGGAAAAATGGCTTTGGTTATGGATTGATAGAGACATAAAATAGTATGTGATACCGTGTAAAATATTTTGTCATAATTTCACTCTTCACTTTGTGCAGCATGGCTAGCCATGTAAAACGAGTGTTTTTCACATTAACCTATTATCGAGTGCTGTTGGCTGATTGTAACAGGGGGCCTGCTCAGGGCCCATCTACCAATGGCCATGCCCACCTGTTCTGGGCCAACCGCCTGCCTTCCCACCTGCCATGCCTTGTTGTAAATTAATTAATGATCTTAATTAGGCAGGAGGCTGCCCATTACTTGCCCCGATGCCAGGGGGTGCTATCTGCGGCTCCACACCTCCCCTACACCGTAGCCCATGCCTCACAGATGGCATCCACAGAAGTTAGTCTCACTGGCCCCACACTGGACCCCAGAATCCTCCAATCAGGACCGCTCTAAGATCCCTCCATTCAGGCCGCTTAACTCCCTGAACCATTTCCCCTCTCGAGCATGGTCCCCCCCAGGACCTTTGGCCACACAGGCCCTGGCCTCGCCTCCAAGGCCAGTTGGGACCCCAGACCCTCAGCTCTAGGCGTCCCTCATGGTGGGCCCCTGGCCCTTTTGACTGGTCTGGTCTTGGCCCCAGCATTGACCAGTCGAGGGTACTCTATGTCAGGCCTCTGAGCCTCTTACTCCACTCTCTCTCTCTGGGGTCTGCCCTCTGGACCCTACTAGCAGGTGACCCACCTGGTTGTGGGAGCTGGGGTTAAGGCACCCCAACCCGCCTTTCACCAGGGTGGTAACTGGCTTGGCATTTCCTGGAGGCTCCCACACCACTGAGAGCTTCACCAGGCCACCCACTCCTGGCAGGATGCAGTTTTAGGTCATGCCCAGAACCAGGAGCCTCCTAGCCATCCCCTACAGCTCCTCTTCCCTTACCTCCAGGTGATGCATGAAGCCTCACAGCTAGGCAATGTTACTGCCTGGCCTGACAGCAGGGAACTGATCTATTTATATAGGCAGCCAGGGATCTAAAATGGCTGCTGCAATCAAGCACCTGCTGGCTGCTTGGCTCAGATCTTAAAGTGGCAGGAACCAACAGTGCCCTGTCACACTGATCTTGCCAGGGAAATGGGGAAGGCCTTTTACGTAATAAACATTATTCCAACTTTAAGATAGTTAGAATCTATTAACAGAGATAGAAATGAAGAAGCAAAAGAGAAAACCTTGTGAGAAAAGGGGAAATATATATAAAAATGGTCCTTTAATGGTGCTCCCTCTCCACTTATTGTTTCTAATATGAATCTCTATAGAAAACCATGTAGTGTATACTGGCAGCCTCCACTTCTGTCTAGTATTTGCCAATATGTGGATTTTTAGTCATTTGTCAAGTGTAAATACATAGTCAAGTGTAAATAAGCATTAATTGCACTGAAGTTAATGTTTACACCAGTGTAAGTGATGGGCAAATCAGGACCAGAAGCTCTTCCTAATCCTCCCACTCTAAAAATAGTCTATAACTAATCATTTGATGAAGCATTTATATTCTACTTATATGCAATCATTTTAGGAACTGATCCAGTGCCCAGTGAAGTCATTGCCACATCTCCTATGGGCAGTGGGTCAGGGTCTTAATTTATTGCCCTCATGTCACAAGTGGAGGGCTATGAACTGCGCCAACGTTCCCAGTGTGCTCTGTATAAGGTTAGTCTTTGATAAGTCATCTTATCTGAAGCATCTCCATTTCCTAGAAAAGAACAAATCAGCTTTAGGTTTCTCACAGTTTTCAGGGCATCATTCAGACTATCTCAGTTGCTCCTCCACTGGCTCCCGGTGGATGTTTTTCCTGAATGATCTCCCCAGAAGTCCATGCTCCCAAAATTCCCTTTAAAGGACCATTTGTTTTAAAAAGCAGGTAATAGTTTTAGATCCATAACTTTTGGCCATGGGGATGACAAAGAGAATCTGGCCTGAAGGAGGAATGTTAAACTATTTAAAGTATTTCTCAAGGTGTTACTGATTTCATATCAATTACCCCATTGTAATCTGATCAGGAGAAAAATGGCATTGTGTTTCTTATACAATTGAGTAGCTCTATTTAATATAATGTTTTACTGCATGATATATTTCATTATATAAACTTTTGGCCACATTTCATTTTATCTTGATCTCACAAGTTACATGCAATGACCCCATGTGCTAACTTCCTCAAAATGTTTCATTTCTGTTGCAGAGCAGAGAAGATCAGCAAAATACAGACGATACCTGGCAGTCTAGACATTGCAGTAGATTGTGTCCCTTTGGAACACCCAAGTATGATTACATTTTATAATTATTCAGAGTTTGTAAAATTTAATTTAAGCCTAAGTTACTGCTGCCACCCTCCCCGATACCTGTGGGAGCTGAGGATGCTTAGTTGCTTGCAGGGTAGAATCATAAAAAAATGGTGCTGGAAGGGACTGCAGAAGGTCATTTAATCCACCCTCCTGCTCAAAGCAGAACTATCCCCAACTAGATCATTCTAGCCAGGGCTTTGTAGAATCGGGCCTTAAAAACCTCCAAGGATGTAGATTCTACCACCTCTCTAGGTAACTGGTTCCAATGCTTCAGTGCCCTCCTAGTGAGAAAGTTTTCCCTAATATTCAACCTAAACCTCCCTTGCTACAATTTGAGGCCATTGCTCCTTGTTCTGCCATCTGTCACCACTAACAACACTCTAGCTCCATCCTCTTTGGAACCACCCTTCATGTAGTTAAACCTACCCCTCATGTTATCAAATGCCCCCTCAGTCTTCTCTTCTGCAGGATAAATAAGCCCAGTTCCCTCAGCCTCTCCTCAAAAGTTATGTGCCCCAGACCCCTAACCATTATCATTGCCCTCCGCTGGACTCTCTCCAATTTGTCAACATCCTTTCTATAGTGGTGGGCCCAAAACTGGACACAGTACTACAGATGTGGCCTCACCACTGCAGAATAGAATGGAATAATCACTTCCCTTGATCTGCTGGCAGTGCTTCTGTTAATGCAGCCCAGTATGCTGTTAGCCTTCTTGGCAACAAGGGCACACTGCTGACTTATATCCAAATTATTGTGAGTGCTGCGATGCTAGGGTGCTTGGAGTGTCCCACAGAAGCATGGGGGGCTCCCCAGCGCGCTCGGCAGCAGAGCCAGAAGTGGACCAGAAGCATTTCTGGTCCATTTCCAGGTCTGCCAGGGAGTGCATGGGGGGGGCCCCTGCACCCACCCGGCTCAGTGATGGGTGCCTTCTGGGTCTGGGGGGAGGCATCTGGGGTCTCCCTGCAGTCAATCGCTGAGTCGGGGGGTTGCAGGCCCCACCCCCCCTTGCGCACTCCCCAGGAGACCTGGAAGCGAACCAGAAGTACTTCTGGGTTTGCTGCCAAGCATATGGAGGCCCCCCCACACACACTCATGTGGGATGCTCCATGTGCCCCAACATCGCAGTGATCATGAACTGTACCTGCTACCTCAAGGTATGAGGAAAAACTTTTAAACCTGTGTCTGTGTCCAAATTGCTGATTCTCCAAATCAGCATTGAATCTTCAGATTTGGATTCAGCCAAATCAAATTGGGGACAGTGATTCAAATCAACAAATTAAATCATTGTCCCTGATTTGGGCCAAATCCAAATTGAATAGGGCCCACTTCGCACACTCCTAATCAATACTTCTAGAATCAGTGTCCTTGACTGCCTGCAGTTAGTGTACTTCAGCTATGCATTTCCTCTGCTTTTTGTTGACAGGATACCTTTATTCATTAACTATCTGTTGAACTGAATTCAGATGCCCTGATTCTGTCACACATTAAATCTAGTTCAAATACCTATTGCTTCATCTCATTTGTCGCCTTTTAGATAGCAGCTCAATGTAAAAATGCATGAAAAATTGGAATACAAAGAGTAGTTAGTTCCTCTAGAAACAATATCTTGTCATCTGTTAACAACACTTTCGTTGTGTTTGGAATGATAATTTTGTTGAAATTATACGTTGATAACGTTACTATGTTTTGTCTTGGATAATGTAAATTTAAAATCTATTCAGTGTTATGTTATTAAACTTAGGTAGAGGAATTTACTTAAATATAAATCACGGGGATTACTGTGGATCTACATAGATGAGAAGGGGGTTGAAACAAATGTGGTCCTTCGCATCTAGACATTTCATATTAAATGCTTATTTTTAGTGTTTTAAAAGAACATAAAATGTGATTTAACTTTATTTTCTGTTCTTTTCAAGATTGTGTAACATCATCTTTTATTCCAATCAAGCCATTTAATGATATAAAGGAGCATCAACCTACAGTGGAAGTGGAGGAATTTGTACAAGAATCAACAAAATATTCTAAGCCTTATAGGGTGTATAAGAACCAAATATACATCTATCCAAAACATCTCAAGTATGATAGCCAAAAATGCTTCAGTAAGGTACAGTAAGCAATATTTTAAGGACTTGATTCAATATGATTAATAGTGTTGAATATTTGCTTACTCCATGAACAGTCTCACCAAAATCAATAAGACCATTCAAGGTAGCTGAGAATGCTGAACTAACTTCTCTTTTTTGGCTCTTTATATGGAATCTTGAAACACAGAAAGAATTTCCTGGAAGTTATTTAGAGATTAAAAAAACTTTTAGGCCCAGGGTCAGCAACCTAATGGGCCAGTTCTGGCCTGCAGAACCACTGGATCCAGCCCCAGAGCTGGGGTTGCATTAGCAGGGGGTTTATCTATTCCATGGCGCACAGCAGCTGGACAGCAGGGAGCTTTTCTGGGCCACATTGCAGCTGGGCAACGGAGAGAAGTGGAAACGGAGAAGCAACAGCAGTGCTTCCTAGCACTGGTTCACCTGTGACCCAAACTGATCCATTCCAATCTGCTGCTGAAAAATGTTGCTAACCGCTGTTTTAGGCTACAAAGAGAGTTCAGAGACTAGGTATTATCGTAATAGCTATGTTGTCCTTTAAGGACATACATTTTAATTACATACATAAATTAGATGAAACTGGAGAAGTATTTTGCATATTAATTTTGACTGAATATGAATTAAAGACCAGATGGGGCTATACAGTGGCCGTTTTACACTCTGCTTCTGTCCAGTGCAGTTAATGCCCAATTTGAAACCTGCAAGGTCTTCTTTTCACACTTTTTTATTTTCTATGGTTTCTCTGGGAGGTAAAGATTCTTAGAAGTTGGCTTGCTGTCCACACAATGTTCTCCAGATTTTGAACACAGTTTATTATATTTAAACTATTTTTGATTATCTTTAAACTTATGAGCTGAAGATTTCTGTTTGAATGTCTAATTCATTACTGTTGCAGGCAAGGAATATAACAGTGTGTATTGAGTTTAAGCGTTCAGATGAAGAAGGAGCCAAGCCACTGAAGGTAAGCAAAGACAAAGCTCATCCAAGAACAATGTATTGAAAGAGAGTGTGTGTGTGTGTGTGTGTGTGTGTGTGTGTGTGTGTGTGTGTGTGTGTGTGTGTGTGTGTGTGTGTGTGTGTGTGTGTGTGTGTGTGTGTGTGTGTGTGTATATATATACTGGCTGGCCCCATACCACTCATTAGCATGACTTTGGTAGTTTAATAAGAACATCGGCATTAGGTTTCCAAAGTCAGCCTGTAGTAGACAGAGTTGTGTAGCTCAGCAGGGCAAAAGACTTAAAAGAACCTCAGGTGCAACTATCCTCAGGTTCAACTTTCAACTATGCAGTTTACCATAGATAAACTATCTACTTGTTACCTTTGCACATCATTTTCTGCATCAGTAAAATAGAATTGTTGACAATCAGTAATCAAGAATCTTTGACCTATCTCCTGCCAATTCTGGCAGTTGGTTGTTACCGTTTTCGCCATGCCTAGAAATCTCTTCAAAGTACTGGGGCTGCACTGTGCATCTAAGGAAAAAACATTTTTAGAGAATTTTTTTCTTTCAAGCTATAGCTAAAAATTAGTTATTAGTATTATCAGCAAACCTCAACAATTGAATAGAAGTCTGATTTTATTAACAGTGTATTTATGGGAAACCTGGAGGACCATTATTTACAAGAGCAGCCTATACCGCCGTGCTGCATCATTCACAGAATCCTGATTTCTATGATGAGGTCAGTATACTCTTTCACTGATTAGAAGATGTTTCTCTGGCAGCACATATTTACTTGAGACATAAAACAAAAATTGCTAGGGCTCTAAATGTTCATATATCCAAGTGAGTGCACATTGCATTAGCTAGAGAGATTTTGCATGCAGGATTATAGAAAATGTCACTATTTCTTTCAGCACATTTTAGAGGATGGTCCTTCTAAATTATTTTGTAGTACTTGATTATTATTAATAAAACAATCCTGTCCTCTAACATGTATGCATGCACTGATGGCTAGGATCTTTTGCTCTAGACCATGTTTTCAGTATATTATTCTTTATATGATGCAGAGCATAAAGTGGAAAAGGCCCTCCATATCACGTAAGTCCCAAAATGGGATGCCTTTATGTATCTAGGGGCCTGAATGCAGCACACAAGCAGTGTGCAGTGGCTGTAGCTAGTACTTCAGCTTCTAAGGGGATGTGGGTTTAGAGTGGATCTCTCATTCTGCCCCCAGATTGATGAGGGCACTAGTAGTTGCCTCAGTTACCCACCTGATATATGTTTGCTTGATGAACATAGAGCCTACCTTCATAGACTTTATACTGGTGATTGGAAGTTCACTTGGCTCAATCTATGTTGTTCCATAACTATGAAGGGAGAAATTCCCTCACATGCACAGTATCCATTTAAACACCATTTACATACCTTAAGTGGAACTGAAAGGCTCAATTTCAGAGGTTTTGATCACCCAGGGACTTCAAACTGAGTTTTGGATGTTTAGCACTTCTGAAAATGTGCTCAGTTGGTGCATAAGGCTTTGTATGTACACTCTGCCTTTGGCTGAGTTTCTTCTGACTTGAATTAAGTATTGAGTTAAGACCTCATGTGGCAGAGCACAATTGGGGTGGTAGGCACTTAGTATGGGCTACAGCAGGCTGGAGAAGAGCCTGCATGGAGGGCAGCTGGGAGACACCCCTGAGAAGTCATTTTAAGGGGGAAGGTGTGTGGCGGAGCACCAGCAGGGTGCTCACCACGTATGGGCTGTAGCAAGCTCTGAGTGAGCCTACTATGTGAGCATCAGGAAAAGCCTCCCCCAGGAACTATTTTAAGAGGGCAGATGGATAGCAGAGCACCTTTGGTGTGTGCCACTCCCAGGAGGAGAGCAGTCAGCAGACAGGTGTAGGCCAGCCCTGATGAGGGGGACATTTTAAGATCCTGACTCTCAGGGCTGGAGCACCAGTTTGCTGCCAGCAGCCAAGGGAACAACAACACCCAGTTGCACTGTTGCTCAAGCAACGTCTTGGAGGTAAGGGCAGGAGCTATGGGGATGGTAGGAAGCTCCTAGTCTTGGGTATGACTGGAAACTGCACCCTGCCAGGGAAAAGTGGCCTGGTAGGACTAGCCATGGCAAGACAGTCTTCCAGAACTGCCAGACCAATATCCCAATGAAAGGCGAGAAGGGGTGCCTTAAAACCCCAGCCCCCACCAGTCTGGTGGGTTATAACACCAGAGGGGAATAGGGCCAAGCACGCCCATGAGAGGGGCACCTGAGCCCAGAGTGGGTAGTGTGGCCAGGCATGCCTATGAGAGTGGCACCTGAGCCTGTAGAGGTTTAAGACCCCAGAGAGTAGTGGGGCCAAGCATGCCCATGGAAGGCACCTGATCCCATGTGGGTGTAAGACCCTGGATCCCCAGTAGAGGGGGCAAGTGTGTTGAGCCCCAGAGAGGGGGGCATGAGTGTGCTGAGGTCCCGGGGGGGGGTGAGTGCATGGAGCCCCAGAGAGAGGCAGGTATGTTAATGCCCCTTGAGTAGGGGGCAGAGAGGTCCAGGTAAACCTTCAGGCACCTGAGGCTGCATGTGGCCTGAGGCCAAGTGAAGCAGCATAGAGAGGACCATGAGTGAAAGGGGTGAGTCACTGGCCTCAATTAGGAGACCAGTGGGCTGGGTTACCCAGTGAGGGGCCAGAGTCAGGGTTAACCCAGTGTTTGGCTAATTGCCTGGCCACCATGCAGATGAGGGTCACAGGAGAGGCCCAAAAGTCTGCGCCAGGGCCAGCCAAGGAGTAAAGGGACAAGTTTGCTGGCCCATGTGGCTGCTCGAGGGAGCAGGCTGGGGTGATTGAGGCCCAGTAAAGGACAAGAGTGTGAGAGGCCTGGTGAGAGTTGGCAGGTGATAGAGGCCCCAGTGAGAGCAGGGCTGTATGTGTGAGGCCCAGAACAGGGCAGTATGACAGAGGCTCAACAATGTGCTGAGTTGGGCCCAGCCTCAAGCTGGAATATAGCACAATTCATGGGAGTCATCTGCGAGGTATGAGACATGATAAGGGAAGGTTGGAGTCATGTGTTTACTGCCTGTGAACAGCAGGATGCTCAAAGGGCAACCTCCCACCTAATTAACATACTAACTAATTTACAACGAGGTGTGGCAGGTGAGTAAGGCAGGTGGCTTGCCCAAAGGGAAACAAGCAGGAGGAACTCACTCTCCTGCTGGCTGACACCAGCCCGGACATAGTGGGGATCACTGAAACGTGGTGGGACTCAACGCATGATTGGGCAATGAATGTCAAGGGCTATAGGCTGTACAGGAGGGGGCGTGGCACTCTCTGTTAAGGAGGAATACACATCCTCATCAATTAGCAAAGAGTCAGAGGAAGGGCAGTCTGAAGTACTTTGGGTTAGAGTACAAGGCAGTCGAGGGGACAGAGACTTAACGGTGGGCATCTACTACAGACCTCCCAACCAGGGGGAAGAGCTTGACCAGGAATTCTTCGGTCAGC